TGAGCCAATATAATAAAAATGACAATTCTATATAAATTAGTTTATTTATTCAGTACCAAAAATTATTTTATAGGGCTAGAAAAAATAATAACAAAATTCAACTGGAAGAACAAAAGGTCAAGAATATCAAGGGAATAAATGAAAGAAAATGTGAAGGAAGGTGGCTAGGAAGTACCAGATCTCAAACTGTATTACAAAGTAGTAATCATCAAAACAATCTGGTATTGACTAAGAAATAGAGTGGTGGACCAATGGAATACATTGGGTATACAAGACATAGTATAAATGACCACAGTAATCTAGTGTTTGATAAATACAAAGATCCAAGCATTTGGGACAAGAACTCACTATTTGACAAAAATTGTTGGGAAAACTGGAAAGAAGTTTGATAGAAACTATGTGGTGGTGCAGTGGATAGTAATGAGCCTGGAGCCATATTTCTGAGTTCAAATCTGGCCTCAGACACCTACCAGCTGTATGACCCTGGGGGCAAGTCACTTAACACTGTTTGCCTGATCTATAAAATGAACTGTGGAAGGAAATGGCAAACCACTTCTGTATCTTTGTCAGGAAAACACCAAATGGAATCATGGACACAACTGAAAAACAACTGAACAACAACAACATACATACATACATACATACATACACATACATACATACATACATATATATACATACACACGGCAGGTAGGTGGCACAGTAGATAGAGTGCCAGGCCTGGAGTCAGGAAGACCTGAGTTCAAATCTGGCCTTAGACACTTACTAGCTATGTAATCCTAGCTAAGTCACTTAACCCTGTTTGCCTTAGTTCCTCATCTATAAAATGAACTGGAGAAGAAAATGGCCAACCACTCAAGTATCTCTGCCAAGAAAACCCCAAATGGGGCCACAAGAGTCAGATATGGCTGAAACAATCGAACCACAGCATATAGACCAACATCTCATACCGTGCAGCAAGATAAGGTCAAAACTGGTACATTACTTAGACATAAAGGGAAAGAGCATAAACAAATTAGGAGAGCATGTAACATGTTACTGTTACAACTGTGGATAAGGGAAGAATTTATGTCAAAACAAGAGATAGAGAGCATTATGGATAAAAAATGGGTAACTTGATTACATTACATTTAAAACACTTTGCACATACAAATCCAATGCAGTCAAGATTAGAAGGAAAGCAGAGAATTACGGAAAATTTTTATAGCAAGTTTCTCTGATAAAGGCCCCATTTCTCAGATATATAGAGAACTGAGTCAAATCTGTAAGAATATGAGTCATTCCCCAATTGATAAATGGTCAAAGGATATAAACAGACAGTTTTCAGAAGAAGAAATCAAAACTATATGTAGTCATATGAAAAAATGTTTTAAACCAGTAATGATTAGAGAAGAGCAAATTGAAATGACTCTGAGGTAACACTTCATACTTATCAGATTGACTAATATGGCAGAAAGAGAAATACAAATGTTGGAGGGACTGTGAAAAAATTGAGACACATGTGCTGTTGGTGGAGTAGTGAACTGATCCACTCATTCTGGAGAGCAATCTAAAAATTATTTTATAGGGCTAGAAAAAATAATAACAAAATTCAACTGGAAGGGCTATAAAACTGTGCATACCCTTTGACCCAGTAATACTACCACCAGGTCTGTATTCCAATAAGATCAAAGAAAAAGGAAAAGGACCTACACGTACAAAAATATTGTGCAACTTTTTTTGTAGTAGTAAAAAATTAGAAATTAAAATGATGCCCATCAATTGAGGAGTAGCTGAACAAGTTGTAGTACATGATTGTGACGGAATACTATTGTGCTATAAGACATAATGAGCAGAAGGATTTAAGAAAAACCTGGAAAAACTTATGTGAATTGATGCAGAGTGAAATAAGCAGAACCAGAAGAACACTGTATACATTGTACATCAAGATATTATGATGATCAATTAATGACTTAGCTATTCTCAGCAATACAATGATCCAAGACAATTCTGAAGGACTTATGATGCAAAATGCTATCCATCTCCAGGGAAAGAACTTATGGGAGTCTGAATGCAGATCAAAGCAAACTTTTTTTACTTTTTCTTGGATTTTTTTTTTTGGTCTCTGTTTTCTTTTGCAATATGGCTAACATGGAAATATGTTTTGCATGACTGCATATGTACAGTTTATATCTAATTGCTTGCCTTCTCAGGAAAGGGTGAAGGGAGGGAGGGAGGGAAGGAGAAAATTTGGAACTCAAAATTTTAAAAAACAAATGTTAAGGGGAATCAAGGTGATGAAGTGGATATAACACTGGCCCTAGAGTCAGAAAGACCTGAGGTCAAATCCAGCCTCAGACACTTGACACTTACTAGAAAACAAATATAAAAAATTGTTTTTACATATAACTGGAAAAAATTAATAAAAATTGTAAGTAGAAAAAAAGAAACCTTTCCAATGACTGTGAAAACACAACTACTGGGAGAAAAAAGTGAACTTTTCTTAAGGATTTCATTTCTCCCCTACACTGATTACCTGAAGAGTTGTGCTCTTGTTTTTCCAACACACACACACACACACACACACACACACACACACACACACACACTTCATTTTCCATTCCACTTGGGGCATAACTCTCAAGTATCTATATCTGAATTACTGAATATGACCTTCTTCTATCCCATGGACACTCATTACTATAGTTATGTGTTGTTAATGTATAATCTACTTCTCTTCTACCCTTTTTATCAATAGCCATGGGAACATATTCTAAAAATCACAGGTATGCTACAGAATGAAAAATATTAAGGGAAGCACTGCCTTAAAGATCCAGAAATCAGAAAATTGTTGATTCTACTGATAGTCCTGAAATGCTGTTCTGTTTCCTTAATCAATATTAAGCAACTATTATATGCCAGGCACTATGCTAAGTGCTAGAGATCTAAGGACAAAAATAGAACCGTCTTTGTCTTCAAGAGACTTATTTTCTATAGAGATATAACACAGAAACAAATAAGCAGATACCAAATAAGTACAAGGTAATTTTGGTGAGGAAATCTTAAAGGCTGGAAGGATCAGGAAAGGTCTCATGGCAATATGTGAGTTGAGTGGCTGAGTAGTGGCTGGGCTGAACTTTAAGGAAACTAGGAATTCTAAAAGGCAGAGGTGAAGAAGAGTGCAAGTTAGGTAAAGAGGATCAACTTATACAAAGGTAAAGATAGAGGTATGGGTGCCCTGCAGCTAGCTAGAACTGGTTCACAAGTCAATTGTTAAATCTTCAGTGAGAACATTTATACTTCAGAAATTGGCAAATGCTATAAATCAGAGTTTGATTTATTGTTTTCTGACTGTCTAGACTTAAGTGATGGAGAAAATGTTAATAATTCAGATTAAATTTAAAAGTGTGTTGTGGGTACATCTTCCCCCCAGAGAAACAGTTTTAAATATCTCCTGGCACACCTGGAGATAGGAAATGGAATGTTATGTGAGGAACAGTATGAAAGCCTATATGGCTGGACCAAAAAATATGTGAAAGGGAGTGATGGAAAGGTATACTGGAGACAGGTTGTGAAAGGCTTTGTCAAACAGAAGTTTGAGGCCAGCTAGGTGGCACAATGGATAGAGCACCAGCCCTGAAGTCAGGAGGACCTGAGTTCAAATCCGGCCTCAGACCAAACACTTGACACTTACCAGCTGTGTGACCATGGGTAAGTCACTTAATCCCAATTACCTAACAACAACAACAACAACAAAAACACCAGATGTTTGTATTTGATAGGCAACAGGGAGTTTCAGCAGGGAAATGACATTGTCAGACTATGTGTTAGGACTATTATTTTAGAATATATTAATATGTCATAATGGAAAATAACACTTTAAACTTTGTGGCCTAGTTGTGGAATAATAGAAAAAAGGAGATGAGATGGCCTGCAACAGTAAGATACGTTAGTGTAAGGAATATAGTAGATTTCCCAATCTGCTAACTCAGGAAGCTTAAAAAATCCTGGTTAATCTGCCAGAATGAGACTAGCAGTAATGGTCCATCAGGGAGTTTGAATATCAGCTACACTAAATTACCATATGCATTCCCCTAGCATGTGTCAGCACCAGTACTAAATCTTGACCTACACTCTAGGTCCAAGCTTCACCGACCTTCCACCAATGCCTAGCTTGATCCGATTAACACTCATCTCACTCACATTCCCCACACTGTGTGCCTAACTCCATAGAGGACCAGCCTCTATGTGTCCAACTTCCCTCATCATCCCTGCACTGTATATCTCCCATAAATAAAGCTTGTTTACTGTACTTTCTGTCTGCTCCCTTCTCATGCTGCAGTTTGGGTTTATGGGAGTCCTGTACCTCCTAGCCCCACCAGTTCTCTTCTTAGAAGCAAGGGTCAGCAACCAAGGCTGTGTCTAGTGATTGGTAGCTACATCTAATTTCCAAGTCTTTAACCAAAGACTGAATGAGGAACCACATGCCTTGACAGCAAGGTCTCCCTACTTTGCCCTGAAACCAGCACTGTGACTAGGGGTTCTGTCCCAACCTCATACCCCTCAGGTTTTTCTTACTGGCAAAGTAAGTGGCAGATAAAGAAGTTTACTGCCTTTTCCTATATAGAATTTCAGTATTCCAAACCAACCTCAGTCTGGAAGACAATTAGAAGAGGGGAGATAGTCTATGACACAAAGGCTTTATTCTTAATAACTACCACAACTTATTAGATGCATTTCTTTCTTTTCCTAGTTTTTCTTTATGTTTATTTCTTTGTCTACCATTTTCCTCTTTCTTCTAATCTTTTTCTTGCTTTTTTCTTATTTCTTTCTTGTCCACTGCTTTAAGTCTATTAGTAACACCTAGAGGTATTCACAGGCGTTGTTACTCCTGATGGTGGAACTCAGAGAAAAGGAAATTACTGTTACTTGGTCTGAACTATAATTATTACACATTTCATTTTTCAGACTAACAAATCATTCCTAGACACATAATTTCATATATTCCAATAAAAACATACCATAGTATAATTGTGAGCCACTTTGTGCAAATCTGTACAACCCTGTGCATCAGCAAAAGAACGAATTCCAAGGCAGTTGGATGGATGAAGTTGTTTCATTAAGAACTTGCAACATGCTTCTACAACCTGAGAGAGTTGAAGAAGGCAAGCTGTAGATAACAGGCACTCAATATTATCTTCTTTTAATTCAAGACGACCTTAATAGTGAAAAGAAATCCAGTTAATTGTGAAACTATATTAATTGTACTTAAGTTTTAAAAACAATAAAAAACCTGAAGCTATCTTCAATATTTCTAATACGAGATCTTATTTTCTCCCTCGTCTCATGTATTTTAAGGCATTCTAAAAGTAAATAAAATACTGAACAAATAGAAAAATAATTCTAGCTCCTCGGATTCTTCTGCTAAATCAGAAGAATCCATGGATGTTCCATTTACCACAAATATTTAATTTAGTATTAACATTCATTATACGACTTGTTTGTGATTTTTGTTTTGCTTTTTTTGGTGAGGCAATCGGGGTTAAGTGACTTGCTCAGAGTCACACAACTCGTACGTTTCAAGTGTCTGAGGTTGAATTTGAACTCAGGTCCTCCTGACTCCAAGACCAGAGCTCTAATCTACTGCACGACCTAGCTGCCCCTAGTTTGTGATTTTTTAATAATAAATGTTTATGATACTAAAAAGTAAACCAGAAAAGATAAGAAGAGTAATTATCTTATATAAATGAGGTAAGAGAGAAAGAACTGACACAGAGGAATTAGATGGGGGAGGAGGGTTGGAGTAGTTCTGGAACTCTACTCTCATTAGGAATGAATTAAAGAGAGAATATATATATATATATATATATATGGGCATAAAAGTCTTCTGAATTCAGAAAGAAATAAAAGGCTAAGAGTATAGGAAGGGGGAGAGACTAAGGGAGAGATTTTTGGTGGGGGGTTAAGTTAAGTAATAGGAGGGGAAGGTAGCGGGTAGAAGTAGAGGAGTCAGGAGGGACAGAAAATAGGAGATACACATAAACATAAAATAAAGATCAGGAGTAGAATTTATTAGGGAAAAAAAGCAGGGGTAGTAATCATGATCTCAGAAAAAGTTAAAGCTAAAATAGATTTAATCAAAAGGAATAAAGGGAAACTACACTATATGTTGGCCATATTAATCAATATTGCTTTAGACTATTTAAAATAACCAGACAGTATAAAGTTGGAATATTGCTGTGGTTTAAGAAACGATGAGTTGATGGACTTAGAAAAATATGGAAAGATTTGGATCTCTGAAGGAAGAGGCTATCCACTCTCAGAGAAACAGAGGACAAACAAGTACAGTACAGTCTTACACAGTCGCATGAGTTTATATATATAATATTTATATATAAAAATTCATATATAATATATATGTTTATGAGTATGACTATAGATATCTAAATATACGTATAAGTATGTGAATGTATGTGTATATGTATGTATATGTTTGTGTGCATATGTGTGTATATATGTAGGTGTGTATATGTATACATATATATGTATAAAAAATCTGCACTTAATTGTAGCCTTCTTGGTGGGGAGAGAAGGGGAAAAAGAACAAAGTAAAAAGTGCACAGTAGAAAACAGAAGAAAAATTACATGGAAGCAAAGAAAAGATGGACAACTTGAAACACAATGTATAGTATTTATTATATAGGCTTTCTTGAAGTGGAAATTTATTGCTATATATTTTGAATCCTCTCATATTCTGCTGTGCATATGGCAATGCTTTTTTCTTTTCTGATTTTGTGTTTAAGTTTTAGTATTTAACTTTATAATATATTTCTTTTTCTTTTCTTATTATGTATTCAAATTTTAGTATTTAAGTTTAAAATGAATAAAAATTTAAAAATAAATATTCATGAAACACACTAAAAAAAATTATCCTCCATTAAAAGTACATAGTTTTTTTTTTTAATTGGACTATCAACTAGAGGACTTTATGGCCCCTTATTGTAATGTATGAACTATAATAGGGTCTATGTCAATGTGGTAACAATAGTTGGAATAAAAAACTGTCATAGTCTATGGAATCCTCCTGATACAAGGCATGAGAAATTTAAAGATAGAGTATACTTTTTACTCAGTAGTACAAATAAAATGCAAATAAATTTCTGTTATCTGTTTCATAAAAATTTACTACCTGTATATGCATACTGAACCAGAGCCCAAAGTGAATTTGGCTCTACACCTTCCATTTTGATTTCTTCTTGTCTTGCTTCCCTTACATCATTAGTAAACATGGCAGCAAAATAATCAGAGACAGCAGAGAGTACCAATCTGAGAATACATTAGGAGAAAAGAAAAATCAATAACTTTATCCAAGCTAATTAATGTCCATTACTAAGTACTTACTTCTATTTTAAAAAAATCCTTTGAAAGTATACTGTTACGCGGGATTTATTTTAAATTTAACAATTGCTTCATGTTCCAGTTCCCCTTTTTGAATTAGAAATTAACATCACTGACTCTACATTTTCTGTTGAGGTAAATGATTTATCCTTTCAAGTAATAACCAGAAGGGAAAAATACTACAAAGTAGATTAAATCAACTCAATATCAAATGAAATTGGGAGACAACCTAGGGATATTTTAAAATGACAAAAAAAACCCCAAAGTTTTGTTAAGAATGTGCTTTAAAAATTCATTGTTAGAAGTAATAAACAAATGATAGAACATTTTAGGGTAGGTTGGGCAGATCAGTTTAAAATACTCTTTGTTTTAAAGAACTTAGAAACACTTCTGGTATTTTACTTTTTTATTATTTGTATTTTTCCATTACAAGCATATGTCATGTAAGATTGCTGTAACCCTGTTAGGATGACATAAATAAAGCCCATCAATTAAATTGTGAAGGACCTTTTTAATATTATTTAGCTGATTATCTCTTTTTAATGTTGTCCCTAAGCATTGAAATGCCCCTTTTAATATTATTTTGACTATTTTCACAAAACCATTTAATGACATTATGTAGATTTTAGAATATCACTATTAAAATAGTTTTGAAATGAAAATTTAAAATGAAAATTTTCTACTTTTCTATACTCAGTTATAATATTAGAAGTTTTGAAGGTGCTAACAATTAGGAGGCCTAGATTCTAGTTAGGTCACTTGTGTGAAAGCTGGCAAAAAAACATCAATAAATTTTACCTTACTTGCTTGTAAAAGGAAAGAATTGGACTAGATGACTTTCAACATTCCTTCAAGTATAAAGTCTCTTCACTTAAATGACTCAGCAATTTTATTATATTATCTTGAAATAAATTACATAAGGATGACTTCATATACTCAGTTCCTTGGACAATCTACTTTTTCTTCAAATTTCTTAAAATTCCAATTATAGTTTTTCACTATTTTAAAGTTTCAATTTATTTCTGAACACAGCTACCTGGGCATGGGAATATGTTATCACCTCACAACAACTGGGAAAATGCAGTGTATATTGTCAACTATTCCAAAGATACTCCAACTCCTATGATCTATACCTTCACTCTACCTTAGCCACAAACAGGAATGGTGATACCCTTGATCTTATCACCACCCACAAGTGCTCCACTTTTATAATCCACAACTCTAAAATTCCCATATTGACTATAACCTCTTGTCCTTCTGGATACACCTGTTCCATCTTTCTAAAACTCATTCTCTGTCTACACAACAACCTCGAGTTACTCCCTGTTTTCTCCCTTTCCCTATTTTCCCACGCCATCACCCATCCTTTGGTCTCACTTTCCTCCCTTCCAAAGCTCAACTCTTTAGATAACTAGTTCAGCTTTGCACTATTCTTGATCCTTCATTCTTCTATTACCACTCATTCCTTTCCAGATCACAAACCTGGATCTTTCCCACCACTAGTCTTCTCCACTCCTGCTTCTATGCTGTCAAGCCCTGCCAAAGGAAGTCAGACAATTATCTTAGTTGTGTCTCCCCAAGTCAGTTGTAAGTCTCTTGAGGGAAGTAGTCATATTTCCAATAAATACTTGTTGACTTATTCGCTAAATTGTCAGTTACTCTTATCAAGTACAATTCTTAAAAATAATGTGTGAGTTTTACTTCAATTTTGAAGCACTTGAAAAGCCTTTAGGATCATATAAAAGTGGTGATTAGTCTTGAAGTATTTAATAGACTTTTGGGACCATAGCAATGATTAACCGTGAAATTGAAACTGCAAAAAAGGAAAATGACATTCATGAAATTATTATTCATTAAGCATCACTGCTATGTCTCCTTTATTCCTCACTCAAAAAAAAGGACAGCTCATCATTTTCATTGGATTATTGCTGACATCAATGGCCTGCTTTTAGTAGCATATCAAACTGAAGCTGGATCTAAGTTTCTTATAGTCTTAACAATCTTATTCTACAAGCTTATACTTCTAAGCACTTCTTACAACTGAACACTCTACACGCTGATTTTGAGGACTTACAGATATAATGGGGTACAAGATTTATTTAGAGGATCAGAAACACCACGTGATACTGCTGCTTTAAGGTGAACGTCTTAAAGTTTTAAATGGCATTATCTAGGGTTTATCTATGTGCACCATTTTAACAGCTTAACACTTTTCTTCATGAAATTTTTTCATAAATTATACAATATAACTAGATAAAATCATTTGCTATTAAGATTTTACAATTAAGAGACTACTGACAATTGTCACAGTTTTTAAGTGCATATTTAAAACATATTTTTATGAATAAAAATATTTTCTAAAAAAAGTAGTTAATTTTTAAAAAATTGTACCTGTGAGCTGGAATCCTTCGATCACCAGCAACTAAAACTACATCACATAACTGTTTGTGTCTCAAATAGTTTTCCATCTTTTTAAATGTTTGTTCAGCATGATTAAGGGCCTGGAAAAATTCATCTGATGAACACGGCTCCATGTTATGGCAAGATGACAATGTCTGACTGCTGTTAGAGGTCCTGAAAAAATACAGAATACAACTGGTTTGAAATATTATAATCATATACCCATCCATAAAAATAATGAAGTACATTGAAATTAAAAATGGTATGAAATAATCCATATCCTGGCCATCTTCTCACCATACTTGCATATATTCAATATATCATCCTCATCTCCATACCCTTCTTCCCTGCCAGGTAGGATGCTTCTCACAGGTAAGTTTTTGTCTTACTTTGCCCAGAACTAGTCTACCTTCATTCTGCTTCCAAGACATCTACAAAAAATGCTGCCTAGAATTTGGACACTGAAACTTTGGACTTGGCTCCTGAGTCCTTTAGCTCTGATAGGTGAATTTTCACCTTAATTTGCTCAGAACCAGGCCTCCGCACAGTCATCTCCACATGTGTGAATATCCCCACTCCTACCTCTACCACCTTCCCAAACTTCAGTTATCACTGAACATGACATCATTGGAGATTGCTTCATCCTCAAATTTGTACACCTGTGTTCAGTTACACTATATCCATCTAAATATTCATAACTCTAAATCAAACAACTACATCCCTAAAAGAGGTCACCTAGACCATTCATTTGTCTCAGAACAGAAAGGCAATTAAATTATTTCAGAAAAATAAATACAGGCTGACCCTAAATTATGAGAATTGCTTTGTCCCAAAGTTCATTTGTAAATACATTATATGGAACTTAGAATGAATGTTATAATAGAAACAATGTTATAAGTGGTATTTAAATTCCCAGGTCAGTCCATAAAAACGCCATTTAATTTATAATCTACAGTCTCTCTCTCTTTTTTTAGGCAATTGGGGTTAAGGGACTTGCCCAGGGTCACACAGCTACTAAGTGTCAAGCGTTTGGTCTGAGGCTGGATTTGAATTCAGGTCTTCCTGACTTCCAGGCAAGTGCTCTAAACATTGCACCACTTAGCTGCCCCTACAGTCTCCATTACACATAAAACACAAAAAGTTGGAAGTACAAATTTGGGGCCATCATTTATAATGCCCAACACAATGTAATAGCCACTCTTAATCCTCTTGTTTCTTACAAATTGGGGGGTGTCAAGGGTTTAGTTAAAGGTGTGTTCTTTAACAAACATCTATTATTTGTGGGCCCATAATTATGTCTGCTAAATCATGGCAAAAGTTTCTGTTAGTCTTTTAAGTTATCCAACACCCAAAAGTGCAAAGTATTTTATTAGTATGTTCAGGGTAAGAATTATGCACAAAGGAAGAGATGCTATATGTCATATATACCAAAATATTTCTAGAAATCACTAAAATGCTGAGAAAAAAATATAATTAGAATAAACTAAATCAGAAATTTTCCAAAGTTTTTTCTCCCAATAGTTAAAATTTGACTAAGTAATATTAGCTATTTAAGCCAACATTTACCAAGACTGCTTTCAAAACTCTAAGTTAAACTATAATTAAAAATAGTCACTTTATGGTATTACTTAACCCATTTTTATATTAAATAAGTTTTTATAAATAATTTTTAAACAGCAAATTAAATTTATCAGGTATTTGGATAAAGGTATTAATTACATGCTCATTGAATTTGGAGATGACACAAAGGAGAGGTAGCTAAAACACTGGATGATAGAATCAGGATCTAAAAATCTTGATAAGCTAGAGCATTGGGCTGAATCAGATAAGAAGACATTCATTTGGGATTATTAATGTAAATCTTTATACTTGGTTACAAAATATCAGTTTCAAAACTATAAAACAGGAGAGGCATGCTTAGGTAGCAGTTTGTCTGAAAAACTTCAATGTGACTTAGTAGTGCCATGGAGCAAAAAACTAATGTGGTCCTGGGCTGCTTTAAGAGAGGCAGAGCTTCCAGGAATAAGAAAGTGAGAGGTGTCAACAGGCAATCACAACGTCAGGAGACTTATGTGAAAACCAGGTTTATTACAAGAGAAATGAACATGCACTGGAACTCAAAGAGTTTACAGTTTTTACAGAAGTTTGCATATTTATGACAGTACAAAAAAAGGAGGAGAAAATAGGAAGGGGCATGGCATGTGAGGGGAAAGGTAAAATAACCCTTCCCAAAGGGGAGGATCAAGGCAATGGCAGAAGCCATATTCTTTCCTCTTGGGAACTGCTACACTATGAAGATAAGAGGGTCTGCTTATCTGCAAGGATCCCACAAGCATTTTCCCCACACTGGCTGGCACCTATCTTGCCTCCCAAGGACACACAGGCAATCCAGCTTGGGGTGCAAACAAATTATGTCAGCCGGGGGCTTCATCCTTGACACATTCAGGGCCTCCTTAATACTCTCGATCCAGTGTTTCTGGAAAATATGGCAACATAAAAAGACACGTTCATGTCAAGACCCCTTAACAGCTCTTAACGTAGTCCCTCTGTACTCTGTCCTAGTCAGACCTCATCTGGACATCACAGGTTAAGAAGGACATCAATAAGTTGGAAAGTGTGCAGAGAAGGACAACCAGAATGATAAAGGATACTGATTCCATGTCATATGAGGATCACTTGAAGGAGCTAAAGATATTTAATATGGGAAAGCCAAGATGCAGGGGAAACAGAATATCTATCTTCAAGCATCTAAAGGGCTGTTATATGGAAGAAATTACACTTGTTCTGTTTGCCTCAAAGGGTAGAACCAGGAGAAATGCGTAAAAGTTGCAAAGGGGCAAATTTAAGTTTAATGTCAGGAAAAATTTCCTAACAGCAAGTGCTATCCAAAAGTGGTATGGGCTGCTTTTAGATGTGGTGGCTTCCCCTCCTTGGAGGTATTTAAGCTGGATGACCACTCGTCAGGAATTTCTTTTAGATACAGGTTATTAGATAGGCAATGATACCTCTTCCAACCCTCAAAATCTGTGCTTCTGTGACCTAAATGTGAATCCTGGCTCTCTACCATTTATTACCTGTGTGACCTTGGACAAGTCACTTAACCTCTTTAGGTCCGTTTACTCAATTATAAAAGAAGGATATGGGGCTGGATGACCTCTGAAGTTCCTTCTAGCTCTAAATCTATGAGTGTATGAAGGTGTCAGTAAAACAACTAAAAACCAGTAACTGAAAGAAAAAAATGTACCATCTAACTATGAATAGATAAGAACTTTCTAAAACAAATGTAATCAGAGGCATCTTGATCAAATCACACTCAGCTCTCAAGAGAAAAGCATCCTGAGTATGAATTATTTTTATTGTGGTTAATAGTAATTTAGAAATAATTCATTATTTTTAGCAAAGGTAATTATTGATATTTTAATACATACTGAATAACCTAACAATACAAAATTAAAATATGCAATTGGTAAATATATTTAATTTAATTTAAGGTAATTATGAAGCTCCGCTACTATACACACACACACACACACACACACACATATATAGCAGATAAAAGTAATTTGGGCTTCTATTATCATAATACTTAATAAAATGATAACTGAAGTATTTTAAGGTATAGGTTAAAAGACCTAGACAAAGGTTTCCATCACATTGGATAGCTACTTTATTAAAGATATATGGAAGAACATGAAGGATAAGAAGGAATAGATAAGCTTCAATATTCACTGGTAGAAGGAATGCCCATACTCATAAAATCACAGATCCACTAAAGTAAATCCAGTGTTTCTGGAAAATATGGCAACATAAAAAGACAAGTTCAGGGGACCCCTTAATAGCCCTTAACATAGTCCCTCTGTGCAAGTCATGCACCACCTTCCTGATGCCACGGTCCTCTTCAAGAACAAAGGATGTGGCGACAAATGAACTAACATTTCAAATACTTCTATTTGTTTTCAAGGCAGAAGCAGCTTTTTTTTTGGGAGGGGGGGCTAGGCAATGGGGTTGAGTGACTTGCCCAGGGTCACACAGCTAGTAAGTGTTACAGTCGGAGGTGAAATTTGAACTCAGGTCCTCCTGAATCTGGGGATGGTACTTTATCCGCTGCGCCACCTAGCTGCCCCTAGAAGCAGCTTTAAAAGATCAAACTTCAAATGTTATCATTTGCTAACCAAACACATTATCTCTCTGTGACAATTAGTTAAGCTTTCTCCTACTTATTTCACCAGTATCATCTATGTTCATAATCATGCTTATATATCAGAATAGGGCTGTGCTACTTGGCTCTCTGGAATTTGGCTTAATCCTCCGTTAATATAATCCTACTCTTAGTTTCACAACTTTATCTTTGCCCTTTCCATTTGCCTTTGGCTCCTTAAACGCATCTCTCCAAACTACTGATCCAGTAATAACTAATAATAACAATAACAGCTAACATTTATTTAGCACTTCATATATGTCAGGCACTATACTCAAGTGCTTTACAAGTATTACCTCATTTGATTCTAATAACCCTGGGAGGTAGGTGCTGTTCTTATCTCCATTTTAAAGATGGAGAAACTGAAGCAAACAGAGGTTAAGTGACATGCCCAGGGTCACAGAGTAAGTGTCTGAGGTCACATTTGAACTCAGATCTTCCTCACTCCAGGCTCAGTGCTCTATTCATTACACCACGTAGTTGCCCCAGTAGCCATGCTCCCTTGCTATCCACTGGGGCCGGTGCTCTATCCACTGCGCCACCTAGCTGCCCCCAAAGATAATATTTGTTGAAAAAGTGCTGAGCACAGTATCTGATGCATAGTAGGTACTATATAAATGCTTATTCCTTTACCTCCTAGAAGGGGGAATAAATGTTCTTTTGTCCCCCAGGGGACAGAATTTGAACTAACAAGTGGCAGTTACTGGGAGACAGATTTTGGCCACAGTTAATTAAGTAACTTCTGCCTAGAGCTGTCCAAAAATGAAATCAGTTATCTTCTGAGGTAGCCAAATCCCCTCTTCTGGAAGCATACAAGTAGGGGACAGATCTTTTAAAAGAGATTCATTTATTTTATTTGGGGTTGTAGTAGATGACCTTTAAATTCTCATTCAATTCTAAGACTCTATGACTCTGAGAAAAACAGTTCATTGCTATGTGAATGAATAAATAAGATCTGGAGATACAAACTGAAGTG